AGTCATAGTCTTTATTTCCTTTTTCAAAGTTTCATTTTAAATTATTTCTGTTGCTATATTTTCAAATTCACTAATCACATTTTCTGCCATGTCTAATATGCTGTTAATCCCTCCAATGTTATTAATTTTTTAATCTCAGATCTTGTTTTTCACTTTAGAAGTTAGGTTTAGGACTATTTTACATTTCCTTTTCTCTACCTAACATGCTCATTCTTTCTTGTAGATTTTTGAATACATGGAACATAGTTGTTAAATGATCTTAATGTCATTTTCTATTAATTTTAATATCTTTTTCACTTTTAAGTTGGTTTTGATTGATTGATGTTTGTTCAGAGAAAAATTAGTAAATAAATATAGTTATATTTTAAAAATAAGGTTAGCTAAACAAATCCAGGCTTCATATTAATCAATGGATTGCTTTTAACTTTTTATTCTGAAAAATTTTATGGATAGTAGAGATGTTAATTGTAGATGTATGTAATGCTTCAGATAATTGTGCCATAATACAGCAGTGGCAAAGTTATGTTCTTATAAGAGAAATCACTATGTAGAGTAACTGAAAAAAAATGTTCATTTTGTTTTTTTAAAACATCTTTTAAGGTAATGTTAGTTTTTTCTATTGACTGCTTAAAATGTGAAGTTTTGGGTTCATTACTTCTTTGATCTTTTAAATAAGATTTGAAAAATGTGTACACAAATGTAACATTTGTACTGATATAAAACTCATTTATTTTTAATTCTTTGGATAAATAGAAACATTTAAATCTTTTGTGTGGTTAATAATTTATGCAAAGTACATTTATTTTATTTCCTACCTTTTGTTACATGTCATTATTTTTCAGTCTACTAGTTTTGGTGGCATTTTATTCTGTTAAGATTTACAAATGGGTTGTTAAGCATTTGCTCTGAGTTTCCATGATAGCTTATAACTTAATTAGTTTCTATTCATCAGAAGTATGAGTTGAATTTCTTGATGGCATTAATTTAAATTTGTTCTAAAATGCAGTGATTCAATATTGAAAGCTTGTTCTTTTTTTCTTTTTAAAAGCACAATTCATGAAATTAAAGCAATTTTCATTAATAGAACCCATGTAATTTATAAATAGTTGAAGTGAGATGAAAGTTTCTAATGTTTTCTAATCCTTAAGATGAACTCTTACTTTGATCTGCTAAGTATTGGCCAGTTTCATCGGTTATTAGATTTCCCTCCTATTTCTTTTGAAAACTTCTGTTTTGAAGATGTTGGGCCTAATTCATACAATTTACTTTTCTGTACACATATGCAGATAATTTTGTAGTATCTATTGTGTGGATTCAGAGGACCTCTGTTCTATCTACCGATTCATTCTAATTCAATTTTTTGATAATTACCAGAACTTTAATTTTGACTGTCCTTCCTTCCACTTTGGTGGGCATTAAGCAGTGCATTATTTGAATATATATTTATGCTTCACAAATTTACTTTCTTCTTTGTCAAATAAACAAAGAGTCCATTTTCCCTCCTATCGAGAATCCTGACCCCATTTTCAGGCCTTTGCGTGAACATGGACACTGGAATGAGAGAAGTATTACATGCGGGGTTATGGAACATTCCTAATGTTTTTAAGAATATTGTATGTGATGTTAATTATTGTCTTTATTTAATGTACCTGTCCTCAGAGACAAGTGAAAAAATCACATTTTAAAGTATAAAAAATCAATTGGAATTCCTCTGGGACGAGGAACATATTAAATGGTTGCTGGAAATAGAAAGCATGTGTACGACTGAATGTAGAAGATAGGAGGCCCAGAGAATCTTTTTTCCAAACTTTGTGAGTGGAAACCTGGCCCACCCACAAAGCTATGAAGCTACCCACATGTTATATGTTTAAGCAATTTACTAGTTTATAGGAGTGAATTGCTACCTTTAAAAAAATATATACATTTGGGTGGGGGATAGGAAGAGATCCTTATCTTTATTTATGTATGCATGAAAATGGCATCCTAAATGGGAAAAATTGTTTTTACAGCAATTTACATGTAGCAAATAAGTGAACAGTGCAAAAAGAGATCAAAGAACTCAACCAAATGAAATGTTTTGCTCTATTTCAATGGATGTAAGCCTGTCCAGGCTGTAAGTTTGTTTTATTAAGGCAAAAGCATTTACATTTCTCTTGAGTTATTATGATCATTTTGCAACCCTCTGCTGTAGTCATATAAACCTGCCCAGTTTTTAAAATTAAAATTGATTGTGTTCTTGTATCAACTGAAAGTTTTCCTGGAACTGATAAGTAGCTGCTATATTTTAGAGCTTCAAAATTAGTAGCACAATGAAAAGTATATGCTCAGGTTTCATGGGATTGGTAGTAGGAAGTACACCTGCTGGAAATTATCTTATGCTTTTCATGTCATTAGGCCTCCCCTTCTGGCAAAAGAGAACTTGGAAATGCATCCTACTTCTTCAACCTGATGATACCTTTTATAAGTCAATATCCATATCTGTTTCTTTAAAATTTAATTATGTCAACTAGCACAATGTTCAGCAACTAGTAATTACTCAAGTATAGGATCTGCATTAATCTTCTATGTTCTATTACTACATGTCTTGAGTTTCCCTATAATTTAAGTACATACTTGGCTTGATGGGATAACATAGGCAGTTTGTAGATGTATAAATAGTTTGCCTGGAACTCACTTTCATGCACCATTTCCTTAATTGAATTCATGCACTGTGTGGTGAACAGCATTGGCCTACTGATTTTTTTAAAAGTGTTGTTACATTTTTTCTTTCCAAGGAGCTAGTGTTTGTTGTTTCTTACCATCTATAGCTGGAGTGAAAGTATTCCAGTCCCTGTTTAGACATCTCATGATTTGGTGACAACTTTTAAAAAGCATGGTACAATACCCTGTCCGGTGTGGCTCAGTTGGTTGGAGTGTTGTGCCATGCACTGAAGGGTTGTGGGTTCGATTCCCTGTCAGGGCACATGCCCAGGTTTCTAGCTCGGTCCCCAGTTGGGAGCATGCAAGAAGCAGCCAATGGATGTTTCCCTCTCATATTGGTGATTTGTTGTTTTTTCTTTTTCTCTCTCCCTCTTTCTTCCTCTTTAACAATCAATAAAAATTCTTTTAAAAAGCTGACAAAAAACATGGTACCATGTCCTTCAGTTCAACCTATCTGTTTTTGCTACAGCACAAATCTTTATAAGAAAAATTAATTTATATGTGATTGATAAAGAAAGGAGTTAGGCCCATATAATGTGGAAGTGGCATCAGCTCATATGCAACTTTTCCTAGATGAGAACAGCCAGAAAAACAGCAATAGAATTAAAACTTGGGAGGAAACATAAAAAACCCTCAACTCAGTTGCTGCACTGAATGCAAAAAGCCTTTATACCATTCATTTTTGTTTGATTGATATATTAGTTTCTCAGAGAAATGTGGTAAAACATCCTTCTATGTTTATCGATTTGGAAATTATGTTTTTATAATTCAGTCATTTGTATGTTTGTCATTGCTAAAACATTATTCTCTGTGTTACAGAAAGAGCATGATAAGATGTTTTGTTGTATCATTTTTCTAAAACAGTGTATCTACATATATATGGCGACCAGAATGCCATAATGACGACGGAATGACCGGTCCCTATATCACCCACTGCAGCCAGTGAAGGGGGCTTGATCAGGGGGTGGGTCCAGCAAGCCAATCTCCTGTGGCCCCTCCCCCCACCCAGCCCCGCCCCTGATCAGCCTCTCCCACCCTGATCAGCCCCAGGTCTGTCCCCTCAGCCAG